GTGGAATAACACCACTCTAATATGAATTCGCTACATCAAAATAAGATCGGGATTCATCAAGAGATATGACTTCTGCTACTAAAACAACGAATAGCTCTCAACATGAAAGACTTCTGCTATGTGGAATAACACCACTCTCATATTAATTCACAACATCAAAATAAGATCACGATTCATTAAGAGATCCAAATGACTTCTGCCAATAAAACAACAGATAGATCTCTACAAGAAGGGATTAGACACATCGCATTTTACAGTTTCAGTTGGTGGATCTCATGCGAGGAGTTGGAAGAGTTGAAAAAATCAAAGAGCATGTGAACACAAAGAGAAGGAATGGGGAGGTGGTAAGTTATCAAAACAGTTCCAGCACAATTCCGACCAAATTAAAGATTAGAAACTTCAAGCCTCGTGGTTATTGAGGCATGTAAGAAGTCTCTTGGGGTTGAGAAGACGAGCGAGCCTGAAAGATTCAAGGTCTATCAACCAACAACAATTGGTGAGGTGACATTGCTGAGTCTGTAAGGGAAAACCTAGTGGAAGTGTTCAATCAAGCAAAGAAGTTTCTAGGGTCAAGAATGAATGTACTAAAATGATCCAAGTATTTCTCAACAAAGACACGGCTGAACTCCTTGCATCTAGTAAAAGTAAAGAACAACAAAAACTAGTTGCTTTATAAGCACAAGAAAACATATTTGTTATGTGCACCATTAAAGTACATGGATTTTCATTACCTGGGTCTTGTGGATTTTTACTATTACTTGGAGCACTGGACTGAAGAGAATTTGCCATGGGGTTCTGTGATTTTGTCTCCATTGTCAGCATCTTCAAAGATATCTTTCTCAAGTAATCCGACTGGAACAGCACAATGTTAAACGTATTTAGAAATAGAGAAAATAGAATCAAATATAACTCATTGTGTTGTGTGCTAACATAAACAAAAGGCATGCCAAGTTAGTTTTTGTAGATCGAGCAGACAAATTCACATGAGAAATGTATAGCTTGAAATGCAGATAGCACAAATCAAGAGTTTTGTGACAGATATACCTGACTTGTTGCACCAGTATAAGTTTTTTCCTCAAATCTTACAGCTATTTTCTTGAGTTCCTGAAGTCCCTCTTGTCCAGAGAAAGGAAGATGTCTCTTCAAGGTCTCCATTCTATGCAAGTGAAGAATCGCGATGTTATTTCCTTACTCACAAAATAATCACTAACAACAAGATTTGTAGTAAATCAAATCTAACTGAAAATTATTCACTGTAGTTGAAAGGTACGACATATGATATGATATAAACTTGTTATTTTTAAAATTTCAGAACTTGAGAAAAATTTAATTTCGAGATTTCAGCCAAGTCAACATGAACTAAGAATAATTTCCGCCCTAGAAAATTAAAAAATAAAATAAAAATTCAAATATAAAGTAAAAGCATAGGTGTACATCTTGTTTACAATCCTCTGCCTGGAATCGGCTGGTAGCTGAGTCCTCCAATCGCCGGCATCCATACCCGGAGCTGCTGGAACTTCACCACCCATGACCTGACCTGGGACCTGCGCCTGACCCGAGTTCGCCCTCCAATTATTGCCATCCATGAGATTCACCTAATCAAGAACCGCTAAAACTTTCAAGAACTTACAAAATTTCATCAAAAAAATTGAATTTTTCCTCAGATTAAAAAAGAAATCGGTACCTGAATATCAGTGTCGATTGTGCTGCAGTTTGATGAAAAATATTCAACTTTTGTAGATTGATTTTGATTGATTCGGATAAATTAATGATTCCAGACTTCAGTTTTCGGTAAAACCCACAAGAAGAAAAATTGTAAATTATAATTTTTGTGTATTTGAGATATATACGTGTCTCTGTTCGAAGAGAGATAAATGGACGGGAGTTTGGGCTGACCCGAAAACTTTTTGTACCCGCTGGACCACGTCACCCCTATTCTAATGACTTCTTGGAATTACAAAAATTCTTTTGAAAAATCATATGTGAATATTCCCCTCTATCTACGTGTTTTATTACTTTTTGTTCGACAATTTGGGAGATTTTTCTAAAATTCTTGACTACTTATCTTCATGTTTTATCGTTTTTTCAACTTAATATTTGCTATGAACTCGGGTCTAAGTTTGTAAAATGTAATAGTCAAGTTCTTAAAAAAAAAAAAAAAAGCACGTTTGATAAATAGATTGAACGGTAATAAAGAAATTAAACTGTCACTTGCTATATTATCGAGTTTATCTAACTACACTCTTTGATGAATAATAAATACTTAAATATATCTATATTCATCTAAAATTATTAGTAACTTTTTTTGGGAGGAATAGTACCGAGCACGTTAGTTTCAGAGACGGAGATAGGGGTGGGGGTGGGGGGGGCGACCGCCTCCCCAACAATGTCCGCTGGTCCACTATTCCTAGTTAATTTTTAATGTATTTTTCAGTTTCGTCCCCCTAAAAATTTTGACTCGCCTTTGCAAAATTTTGAATTTTTTTTCAATAATAAATATTGACTCAATAACTTACACTTTAAACTTCAA